TACTGTCAACTTTTATACCACAGTTTTTGTCTAAGAAGGGAAAATTGTACGTGTAACCAGTACAAAGAAGAAAAACGTCAATAGCATCGACAATAGTTCCATCCTTCAAACGGAATGTAGTTTCGTGTATGCTCTCAATGCCCGCAACTTGTATCATATTTGATGGTAAATAGATGGTTCGTCAATTACGCAATGCACATTTCTAATGAGCAAACAATTAACTTGGTGTGTAATAATGTGTCATATATATGCCAGAGGAAGTATTTATTCACAAGGAAACAGATTGCGGATATTAAAGTGTTTTTTTTTGTTGATATAAAGATCAAAGTCCCTCTGAATAAATGTATTTGGCTGATTTATCAATTAATCACAGTTAATTTAATATCGATATAGTATATGCAGATTATTTTTTTTATTTTTGCTGTTAATTAGTTTTGCAACGCAAATGAAAGTTTTTATGTCTTTAGATAACACTGATGACAGATATCTTTCACTTTCTCTCTCTCAAATAATAAGAAAACAAAGTTGTAGCCGCGAGAGAAAAGCTATTTTGCGGCAAGGAAAGGCTATGTTCACGTGGTACCGTTTTGGTGCCGTATTATAGCAATTGGCTGAGTTTGCGCAAGCGCAATATCTTACTTTGATCGATTAAGAGTGAGAAAGAGTGAGAAAGTATTCTATTATTATAATATTGTATTTTTAGCTCACTCTCCATGTAACTAATAATAATTCGAGTTTTCTCGTGTTGCATCTCCGCATCTTTGTTGTTATTCTACTTCATTTTTATTTCCTCGCTCAAGCACTAAATTTCGTCTTAAATAAACACACGTGATGCGCGCGTTTGTAACGTATTTGCGTATAATCTGCGTTAATTAATAAGTTATTATTCTGTTATAGAGACATTTTACTCTCTTAAAAAATATATATTCTAAAGAAATAAATGTTAAATATACTAACATATTAAACAGATATTGAGATTCGCTTTATTTATATTACTAAAACATGTTTAATATCATCTTTCCCGAGTATTTTAGATAATTTAGTACACTATCATAACGACAATAAGCCAAGTCCTTTTTGGAACTTCGTCAAAGCTCTTACTACAGTTCGAAGTTGTAGTATGCTCCTGCGATAACTGATCTCACAGTATAACGCATGTTGCAGTCACCGATGCACTAAAGTTCTCTGATAAGGTGTCATGTTACCATAGCATGGTGATACTCTACGTTTGTTCTAAAAACAAATGCCGGTCGATGACAAACGGACATTACCACATTCCGGTAAAATAGTATGTTACATTTGTAATTGTATCAGATTACCTGTAGTACACATAATTAAAATGAAAAGAAAGAGTTTTTTAGTACTTTGCTTAAAATGAGGGTAAAGGTTTATTATAAACATAATAATTTTAATGCTGCTTGTAATACAATATTATATATTAATACATAATGTACATATATTAAGAAAGAATATATTTGTAATACCTATACATCCATAATTTATCAAGAAATATGTATCAATCAATTGATAAAAATAATAATCTATTTTCGTGAAAAACAAATAACGATTAAGCCGAAATATAGTGTGAGGTTTAGTAAGGGTTAGTAATTCCATCAGCAGTCGTAAAGGCTTCGCGAAGCGTGTAACATATTATAAAGGAAAGTAGTGATTCAAGCAATTTCGCTGTCAGAGGCGATATCATAAGGCTAGATAAATCTCCAGACACTTCCGCCTTACCTCTCTTTCGTTTCGTAAACTCATTTCAAGATAATTATCCGCAATAGGTGACAAAGCACGAAATGTATATTTCGTAACTCACTTTTTTTATCGGATGAACAACATCCCAAAGATTTTTTTCTTTTGAAAGATCATGATTATTCGAAGAGATTTATTTACTGTAATTATATAAATTTTATCTACAAGATAAATTAGACAAATAATAATTTAATATGTTTATAGATTCTTTTTGAAAGTATTTGGCTATGTCCTCAATTATTTAAGTAATTATATATAATATATGTGTATATGATGTGTGTGTGTGTGTGTGTGTGTGTATAAGTTTTTATATATACATATTATAAAAGATATTAATTATCCCAAGCGGTTTAAAAAAATTTATCTTATCGACATTAAGTGAAAATTTGATAAATCGATGAGTCTGACATCGAATAAGGCTTACAAATACTTAATACGATTGCAATTTCTTTCGATTGCTTTCAAGATGTCGACTCAGCAACCGTATCGGCGATTTTCTGAGGTTCGAAATCTCGACTTGGCTCGAATTTTATCTCGTCAAACTGTCACTCTGCAGCAATTCGCGTTCCAGCAGTTTGCGGTCAAGTATCACTTTTCGACAAATCATAATATACTTGCTACATTGAATTCAATATAAAATAGCATTAATAATTAAAATCTCTATTAAGATTTCAAAATCTAAGCATTATAATTAAAATTCAGAATAATAAGTATCTTTTCCAATGTACTCATTAACCCCCAGATTTATTTATAGGTATCTGCGATCCTTGTTTCACCTGCGCAAAATTTATTGTATCTATCCTCACGCACAATTTAATTCTGGCCGTCATTCTTGCCAACTTCTATTTACTTCTATTTACTTAACTATCTCCGTAAATTATCTGATAAACTTAAAAAGTTGTAAGATAAATTATTTTGTGTATTTTACTTTCTATTCACTGAAAAAAAGGTTTGGTTATAATAACCTAAGGCTTGGTGAAATAGCTTCAACTAAAGGGTTTAGTGATTATGACGAAATATTTGGTTAATGTTAACAAATTTGGTTAATATTAACAAATTCGGTTATAATCACTAAACCCTTTAGTTGAAGCTATTTCACCAAGCCTTAGGTTATTCTAACCAAACTTTTTTTCAGTGTTTCTATGGAAAACGTTTTATTATTTGTCAATGTATTATCGCTTCGAGGTCGAGATACTGAAAAACTTCATTACTTTTAAATACGATTTGTGTGACGAAAGCTCCGGCAACCTCGTGTCGCTTGGACGAGAATCAAAATACGTCGTTAATGCGTACACATGCCCTCAATTATTTTACAAATGCTAGGCATTCAAGCAGAAAGCAGAATGCATTATTGGTGCACATGTAGCTAACTCCGCGCGTCCGTCTGACGAAGGAAATGAGCGGATGGAGCTTAAGGGGCCGGTCTGCGCAAGCACAGGTGCAAGTTCGAGGGTATAAAGAGGTGAAGCTCGGGCTCGCGGTGCGCACTTGTGTTTCTGTCAGTCATACAGATCGCACGATCGCATCGGTTCCGAGCCGATACACGCTATCGTTTCTTTTTTCTCTTGCGACGACACTTATTTTTCGCTGCATTCGTAATTGCGCGTTATCGATTGCATTCGTGCGTCGCTTACTCACGTTTTGAACGGGATTTCTCGACAAGTTGGACTCTCTTTCTGTGCGGCGGCGTATAACTCACAGGTGAGTCGTATTTTGGGCTTGTGTGTTAAGTGATGAAAATAGTATAAATTTAATATTAATTCTTTTCTTTTTCCGAAACTAATTTTAAATGTGATAATATCTCATTAAATCCAATGTCCACCACGAACTGCAAATCTGTTAAGCTTAAATCGAACGAATCCAACGCATTCCCGTTTACATTAACGGGCAATTAACGACAAGTACACTAAACCTCGATAAATCTCAACCCGCATTCAATCTGCGTTAATCTTTTACGCTTTTGATTATCAATGTTACGATGGACACGTCGTGTTACGTGTTTTACGTTATGACACTAATACTTATTCCGCATGATATAAATGGCCATTTAATAGAACACCGTGCGAAACAAATATTTTTTTATTCACTATGTTTAAATTACTAATTATTTACATTGTTAATTAATATTTTCCTATTATATATTAACGTAGAATATTCACTCACTTTCTACATTAATGTCCATTAATATGGATAAAATTTATTTCCATCTCGTATATTTTATGTAAAACGGGAAAATATTAATTAACAATGTAAATAATTAGTAATTTAAACATAATAAATAAAAGTATATTTGTTTTGCGCGGTGTTCTATTAAATGGCCATTTATATCATGCGGAATAAGTATTAGCGTCATTAACGTAAAACACGTAACACGACGTGTCCATCGTAACATTGACAATCAAAAGCGTAAAGGATTAACGCAGATTGAATGCGGGTTGAGATTTATCAAGGTTTAGTGTAATTGTCGTTAATTGCCCGTTAATGTAAACGGGAATGCGTTGGATTCGTTCGATTAAGCTTAATAGATTTGCAGTTCGTGGTGGTTATTGGATTTAATGAGATATCATCACATTTAACGGGAAATTAGTTTCGGAAAGAGTAAAGAATTAATATAAAATGTATGCTATCTTCATTACTTAACACACAATGTATATATGTATGTGAGAAAAGAAGAAAAATCGTGGATTATTTAAAAATTTTATATACAAGTGATAAAATAATTACACTGACAATGAGATGTCCTCATTTTTCATGCAAATTGATATAAAATTTTAATTAAAATTGATATTATAGAACAAAATCTGTGAAGTATAGTGTGAAATATTTGCATTTAACTGTTTTAGACACATGTACATAATTTTTACTATCGTTTCTGCATGTAAATTCTTTATAATTTTTTTTATTAGCTTATTCCACGATTTTCACTAGCTAATTCCACGATCTTTCTTTAATTAATTTATGGATGCTCAGTTTCAACACGCTGTTCGCGATTAAAGCATTAAAACGAATCAAATGCAGAATTTGAAAAAAAATATTATCAGTGATTGAAAAAAAAATGGATCTTTGCTTTTCACAAATTTATATGGAATTTGTTACATTTCGATGCGGTCAAAGTAAAATAGTGATTGAATGGACTTGCAGCATTTCATTGCAGCGATTAAATTGTCGTGCGTTTTACAACATTGTATAGAAAATTATACGTGATATAGTAAATATACTTTTATTGGCGTGTGACATCTATTGATTCGACATTTGATTTTAATGTGACGCTTTGCTGTTGAACCCGGATCGAGTGACGAGAATCCAAATACTTGAGTGAAGTTTGATACTTCTGTGTGGCAACCTCGAGAGACCAGCCTAGAGAGAGAAAGAAAAGGAGAGAGAGAGAGAGAGAGAGTGCACTAGTGTTATTTAAAGCTTTAATTACGCCAAATGCGTGATTTCCACGACTCTATTTGTATATAGCTCTATTTGCGTAAAACGCTAATTCTTATTTTATAATTAGTATTATTATGAAGCAAACCGGGCCAATTAATAATTATTGAAATTATGCCAATTGGAAAAAAAACTATTTCCCGAAATTATAAAAAAACGTGTGTGTGTGTGTGTGTGTGTGTGTGTGTGTGTGTGTGTGTGTGTGATTCATCTGCAATCAATTTTTTGATCATTTTTTCCACAAGAGAAAGGATATAAATTTTTCATATTTCTGCTGAAGCGTCTACTCTTACCAGTCATGACATCTTAGGTCAGTTTGCAGAGTAAATTGTTATATTATCCGTGATTTTCTTTCCTCGATTTCTGCGTCATTTAATATATGGCACTTTCTATAATAATGTGCACCGATGGAAGAAGACATTTCATTTTTTATGATGCGATTACTACGCACGTGTGCGTTCACTGCCGCAAAATCACTATTTGATTATCGATAGGGTGCTGTGATATTTTATACGTCGCTAACTATAGACGAGGCGAGTGACGATGCGTGCAGCATTAAAATTTGCGGGCTTGAGCGTGAATATTAATTGCACAAATTAATGACACCATTAATAAGTCTCTTCACATAAGTCTAATTTAAAATGGCAGGCAGTAAAATCTAGGTAAATTTATTGCAAACTATATTTATACGCGGCTTAAAGTTAATAGGCAAATATGCTTAATGAGAGATGTGATAACAAGATTTTCAATGGATAATAAGATTACGATCGATTATATGTATATAGTACTTTAGCGCGATTCTTCATCTTCGTGCGATAAAAGCTATTATTCTCCAATAAAATCTCGTTTGACTGTCATACAATTTTCAAGAGACACTGATTTCATATTTTACCGCAAGTCCAATTTATATAAGTGTTGGGATGTCAACTGTATAATATCTATCTATAATAAATTTACGAAATGTTTTCTGTCGAATAGCACAATCGATTTTTGCAGATTATCTTAAAATGAAGATCTATGTATACTTCTACGAATATATTATAAATCAGTCATTTATAAATTAAAAGGAATTTTTTCTCTCTTAAGTTTATCAGAATTCTGGGAATACTTGACCGTTACTTTCTATTGAAGAGGAAAATTATGACATCTGTATGCGTAGTCATCAATATATAAATGCAATCGATTAATTATATATATATATGTATATACACACATACATCGTCTTGTAACAGTATTCTTCTCAATCATTAAATATTACTATTACTCTGTCGTCATCTATGGCCTGTTAAATCTTTATGAAAATATATCGGGATATATTACACGATATTACGAATCTAATATCGCCGGTGCACGTGTAACTTTTGTTTTGTGTATTCAGACGTGATATAACTGTAACTCGTCTATTTACGTTTTCGATACACAAAGCGACACAAACTCAACTGTAGAAAACCATCGTGTTAACAGCATTTACTATTTAAATGGCCATGTATGTATATGTGGTGTGATGTCATTCGGATGCACCAAATATAAATTCAACAGTTAAATGATAAACGTGAAAAGACTCCGCGTACTATTCTTCGCGACATTTCGCGGTTATATACTAATGAAATTATTGCCCAATTCATTTTTGTTTTCACTCCGCTGAATGGCCATCGCCTGCACTGCGGATAACTTTAAACGATTTTGTCTATCACGTTGCGATATCGTAAGCAGTATTAATCTCTAGTGTGCAGCAGAACTTGTGCAGTATGAAAGCATTGTCCGTTAGATCGAAAAGTTTCATTCCGAGATAAAAATAGATCCTATTTCGCAATTACTTATTTTATTTGAAACGTTGACTCTTGCTAAGGAACGAAATTATTCCGAATGATCGTAGTTAGTTTTAATAATAATTTCTGTCGATTCAAACAATTTCAGTCGAACAATTTTATTTTATTTATAAAAACGATCGGTACATATGTATATTAGAAGAAAGTGAATAAAAAGTATTTATCTACATTCGATATTTTCAATACGATTGCTGCCTTCTCGATTTATCATGACGTCCAATTGGTAATACATTATGATAATTCTTGCTATATGATTAATATAAAGTAATGATTTTATAAGAATCATTTGTTGGCGGCCGTATAAAATGACGGTCTAACTAATCATTGTTCCAACGGTGAGAGATAAATAGAGTTTTTCTCTTTTGACCTCGTTCGCGAATCACGTTACACAATATGCAATGTACAATATACAATTATTATATTATTATTATCTCGCGTTGATAATGATTTCGAAATCATTTTAATGCATTTAATGACCGCTCATTGCGATTTCCGCGGAAGAAGATCCACGTGTGTCCTTAAGGATGTATGGGTCGTACAGTCCTTGCTAAAAGTTAAACATTCAATAAAAGAAGACTTTGCATGTATGTCAAACAACTCAACATTTTTTATATGTTAGAAGGGATTACCGTTAACAGTTTGAGTATGATTTTTTGTTATTTAAATAATTAGTATTGTTTAAACAATTAAAAAAATTTTTTTGTGGCAAAAAATTTTGAAACTTAAAATACAATATCAATGATGTATGTTTTACACATAAAAAAAGTTTAAGATCTTAATGGAGTTTAAGATATCTTAATGGTTTATTTATATTTTATTTATATTTACAGCAAAAATGTCTATTCTCTATAAGGGATAATGTTAATTTTATCAACTTTAAACTTAAATAACTCTTAAATAACTTCAAAATTTTACAGAGTATTGTTAATTTAATTTAGAAACAATTTACAGCACTTTCTGAATATATTTAAAATACCTCCAATACATCCTTAATTACAATAACTTTTAAACCAGTAAGAAAATTGTGCTGAAATTTTACACAGATACTTAGACGTAATAATAGAACAATCTATGAAATTTTTAGATTTTTGTGGTAATGTTTTGAGATGTCACCCATACATCCTTAATGAAATACTAAAGAAATATTTTTATGACAAACAATCTTTCTTTTTTTCTTTCTTTTCGAACCAGTGAACGCGCGCTTTTTTTTCTCTCGTTAGAGAAGCGGCTCATGATCATCCTCTAAAATTTATGACACTTTTAACTACTTCGACTGTGCAGAATCTTTAGCATCATGGGAATAATTTCGTGTTACGTAATCACAGACCTCCGTATAATTTCTTCGTCGCGAAGGAATTATACGGTCTAAACTTTTTGATTCTTGAGTAATTCAATTTAATGAAATGACATTTTTAAGAATAGAAATAATGTTGTTTA